ATACAAACATGGAAACATGGAAAAGAAAGTAGGCATGAAAATGAAGGTTTCAGGACGATTTTGGGTAAATTGATTTATAAAATTTATTCAACCTCTATTTTTGGGTCTATTAACGTACGTTGAGGGAATAATCTTTGTTGTCAACTGTGTATGATTGGTTGTTATAATTTTGATTTTCGGAAGAAGGGTTTCGCCGTAAATAGGACGTTAACAAGAAAAGCGTCGCTTTTAGTCACAGTCAACGCAGAACTACGTTTCTTTGAAAATTAAAAGCGACTTCATTTATAATTTTGAGTATACATAATGCAACATATGTATAAAAAGCTGTAAAATTTGATAGCCATAAGCCAAAGCAAATAATTGTTTTAAGTAAATCAAGTATCTAAAATGTTTCGTCTGAAAGTCCCTAAAGGTACCAAACACTGCGTTTCTTACTTACTTTATTTCGGTAACCATAACACATTGACGGAAAGAAGTAACAACTTTACCTAGATTGCCCTTACTGATTTTGTACAAAATTTTAACCCTCAGAATGGGTGGACTACACCTTTAGAAAACGAGCGCATATTCGAACAAGCGATTCCGATGACAAAACTTGGTGCATACCTGAAAAATGGCATGGTGATTTCAAACGATTTCTTTTTTACGTGCAATTAAAAATACCCGCAAGTAAGTGATTAGATAGCAGCGACACGTGGAACAAAAAATTCCACACATCGATGCATTTTAATGAAACATTTCGCAATATTCGGACACGAAATAGAAATAATTGATGGTCCACGGCTTAATTAATTTGAAAAGTACTCAAACGTCCTAGAATAGGCAATTAGGTACGTAGTTCAACAATATGGTGCAATGATTGATTCCACAAAGAGGACCACGGGGGTTGTGTTTGCTAATATATCAATGATGGGACCGTAATTTGTATATTAGCGGCTGTGACCGCGCGATTGTCGTACCAACTGTCGCCAGCCACGAAATTACGCGCAAAGCTGGACAGTGACTGTTATTCAACCCAACTTTATACGTGTGAATATCTAAAACATATTTAAATGAACGACCAATTACTCCTACTTTAATATAACCAGATTCGACGTTCGACGACGTCGCGTTCGCTTTTTAAATTGTGCGTTTCCGACGCCGACGAACGTTTCGAGCTTTGTTAATTAACTCACATTACCTGCAATAAATGTGTACTACTTAAAAGGTTAAAAGGAAGAAATTAACACTTAAGAATGCATTCGCATGCTAATATAAACGCGAAATTCTGATACACATCAGGCTCCGTGTTTATTTTATATCATGCAAATTCCAACCATCCGTTTGAGAAGCCTCTACATGGTCGGTTAAGTATTTGTCATAGTATGTTTTAATTAAGCACATATTTCGCAACAAGGAGCAGGTAGGAGCTCAAAGCTCCCTTGAAAACTTCCAGCCGCAACCCAAGGGCCGTGTTTGACAGAAAATATGCGACATCAAAAGCTCGAAAAACGGGTATAATTTTCGATTTTGTTGTTTTATTATTATCCTCGTACGCTAAACATTCTGTGAACATTTCTCGAGTTTGTTACCGCTTCGTGTGCTAAATGTTTTTACCTACAAGCTCCAGTGTTTACATCTAACAAAGCATAGGTAGGTATGTCAAATCTGCAGCACTCCGCGTACCAATATCGCCATTTCTTGTGTCAGTCTTTTAGAGTGCAAATGTGGTAAATTGATACGACACCCTTTAAGCCAGATTTACTGGAATTCGGTAGCACACGCAGCAAACTTTTCAATGGGTAAAAACCATGTTGCATCAAGTGGGCAAAGACTACCCATAGTGACCGAGTATCACGACGCCAACCTCTCATGGCATTATGGCGCCGAAAGAACATAGGTACGATCGCCGACAAAAGTAATGATAGTCGGAAGCTTACTGCCACTTAGGCAACCAACCATATACTACCTAAAATGGCAACGTTGAACTGTTTTTCGGCGGGAATTCGTGTGGGATGGGCCGCAAAGCGTCGCGTTTCGTCGTCACTGCTTTGATATAAACGCTACAGTAGGAATAATTACAAAAATTGGTAAAACCCGATTTTATGCATTATATTCTGGCAAACTTAAGAGACATTAATTCACATTGGTATCTTCAATCTCGTTTCTCTCTCTATTGAAATAAAAACTGGCCTTTAAGGTTAATTTTGCAAAACAAGTTCTTATTTTAGTGATCCAGTTTTGTTACATGACAAAAAGGGCCACGTAAACGCAATAAAAAAATAAAACGTAAAGATTTAAATAATACTCTATCTAAATAATCACTGAATCCTTTTCTTTTTACTCTATATTGCTCATTACTCCATAGTTAGTGACGTTGATGTGAAGCCTTCAAAAAGCGCGAAGAAATCACGAGAAATCCCAAGATCGCAGAAACGTGTACCAGGACCAGCATCGGCGAAATGTACATTTCAAAGTTGGCGATCGTGTATTATTCGTCAATACCGCGCAAGATGCTTATACGGCAAAACTACCAACCCGCAAGGATGTTTCTTATTAAATCCTGGAGGTAGTGACACCAATCATGTATATTATTTGTTAATTGAAGAATCCGAATGTACCCCAGACCGTGCTTGGGTGAAGAAATGACTAACCCCATCTGCCTATTGCGCAGGTGTAGAAGGCCCTTACGAGAAAGGGGGATCCACATCGAAGAAAACCAGGAAATCCACGATGTAACTACGACTTCTCAACGGGCAACAGAGCCAGCTTTTATGGAAACCCCACCCCTACCCTCCAAGATATACAGCCTGAACGAAGTCGTCGGAAGATTCATGTTGGTCCACATCCGAGACGTAAATGTGTCGCAAATGGGAGACTGCACCGAACCATTTTGCTCAGCCCGCTCCATGACCTTCAGCCGTAACACATCCGGTGAGCTAGCAAGGTAATGAATTTAGGGTTTAGAGTGTATGTTGTGCATTCTCGCATTCTATTACATGTATACAGTTTATTACTTGCATTCTTCGTTATTGAGTAGATACTTCCTGATTCCGACGGTGGATCCCCAACAAAAAAAAACCAGCCCAAACCCCAGTCGAAATCTAGCGGTTACGTTCTATACAGTGCTACCAACATATAAGATATCGAATACGAATAATTAAATGACAGCTTGTATACAGGGCAGAAATATAAATTTGAAGGTGAGCACTTTTTCCCACAAATTTTTAACTACTCTGATACAAAAAAAACACCCAAAACAATGGAAAATGCTGATTTGTAGAAGAGGATCGACTACGTTGGGATGTAGGGAGAGGCAATGAACCGGGAGTTGCGGAGGAAGGATGTCACCTAAGAACCTGCCAACTAGCAAACAACTTAAAAATAAAACTTTTTATAGTAACAACTGGCACTTGCCACAAAGCTTAAAAAGTAGTATTACACATGTATCCATACAAAATTTCTTCCCTACTACCGCAGTCGTTAAGTGCAATATTGCATGGTTCACAGTACGCTTAAAAAACAACAATCTGTTGTACTTAACATTTTGTTCAAACGAAGCATGGGTACATTTGTCAGTTTGGGCAGCAGAAAATCCGCACATTTTTCTTAAAATACCTTTAGATCTCCAAGAGGTTGACATTTGGGTAGGTATGTCAAGAAGGAGGATAAGTGGAGCCATTTGCTTTAGGAAACTGTAAACGGAGAGTGGTATCGTAAAATTAAGTTAATTTGTGCCTGGAAAGCAGAGACCAGAACGCAAATGAAATATCGGTTCCTGTTCTGTTTATATTTAAGCGAAAATATTTATGACGGTTCCGGTCCGGTTTCGGTTCTAAAAAAATAACGATCGGTTTTGCGCATTTTTTTCGATCTATAACGGTTATTTTCGGTTCTAGTCTTTTAGAAAGTATGGTATTAAAAAATTCATTATAACAATTTATTAATTCATAGGTGTGAAAAGATGTCAAAAGTCATGAATACCAAAACGTGACGTATCGTCAGTGTAGCTATTTACAACGGCAAGGGGAATAAACCCATAAAGAGCGTTTAAAAAAGCGGCAGAGCACCACGGTGTGACCCCAGTCATTGGATTTGATCCATTTTCAACAGGCTTATTATAGGTCAACTGTGCAAAGTTTAAGCCAAATCGGTCCAAGCGTTTGACAGTTATCGTGTTCACGTACAGACGGACAGACGGACACCTTCGACTCCCCTATAATGCTTGCATCGCTTTGCTCTGCCGCTTAATAAAGGGAGAAGAGGGAAATATGCATTTAAACTTAATTTATTAATGAAAAATAGAAAAAATACGCAAAAACTTATGTAAAAGAATTATGTATGGGGTATTATTTTTTATTTTTATTTTCTAAAACCTCGCCCCTCCTTTTATTATTTACATTTACAATAGTGGCTAAATTACCACTACCGCCACCCGAACTGCTTTCAATTTCGACACCTTATAAAAAACGTATCTATAATCCCCCGACGGCAATCGTAGGGTAATATTTTACCTATTTTCAGAATGTGTTTGCCGGCGTGTCTTTCAACTTTCAATAACCTGTTAAGAACCGTAAAATACCAAAAAGAACCGAAAAAAATAATACGGGTTCCGGTCCTCAATAGGTTTTCATTTCTAAAGGAATAAAGATTTCGATTCGGTTCACTGCTGGAATTTGGAAAGGAATGGTGATCATTTTAAGCACCTTTTGTAAAATCGAAATAAATATTAGGCTATGGAATAATTCTGGGAATTCACTAGTAACATGCATAGGGGCATAATCAGTTTTTCCACCCGTGCATTTTTAATTGCCTAACCACTTGCAATCACTTGGAGCTTTATAATGGATTTGTTTTCAATAGATACCTACTTACTCTCGTAAATAATATTAGTCATAATTATATAAAGCGCCCGCTGTATGATAAGTTTTTAAAATAAACTTTATCAGTATTATTTACAATTTGAGTAGCACATCAAGGAAAAATTTATATCTGTTATCAAACAATGAATCTCACTCTCAGTAGTTTCCCGTATCAATTATTTTGGTTATTGCAGGGGATTTTTTAAAATGCTGGGATTACTTACCAGTCGGAGTCATATACTCGTAATATCGAAACAGTTCACTTACAATCCATCTGCAACATTGCAACAACATCATGAAGAACCAAATCTTAGTTCTTGCATTTATTTTATTAATAACATGCAGCGTAGTAACCAATTCTGCTCCATCTTATGAAGGAGGTACCTATTTAAGACGGTTTTCGAATTAAAGACATCTTTTAATGGTTTGTGTTCTTTACAGGGTTGATGGTGCGATCTAAACGCGAAATTTCCTGCCAAGCTGCATCGTCTAGACCTAATGATCCGAAGTCATACAATGAAGCATGCAGAGCACATTGCATATTAAATGGCAAAAACACCGGGGCTTGCGCTGGCGGATACTGCTTCTGTGCTTAATTGTTTTTCAAAATAACATTTCTTGGTCTAAGTATTAGTACGTAAGGTTTCATTGTTTAATTGGTTTATATCTAGTATATTCTAACAAACTATTTGCAGAATTAGAGCAGTATAGTTTTAGGTGGCACACTTTGAATACTTTTACACGCTTATATGGCTCTCAATATTCATGATTCATTTCACAGTGTTGTTTAATCAGCAGTAGTTCCAAAAACACGTTGTTTTTTGGAAGGTAATATCGTACGTAATTATTACAGAAGAACCAAACGGTTCTAAGACTAAGGAACGGTAAAGGAACATCAAAGTCAAATCAGGTTAAAAAATCCAATAAAATAGCCACGGTGGTTCTGTGCACAATCAAACCAAAGTTGAATGATCTTCGGGTTCAAAGTGAGGTTTGAAATTTTGTACGTGCCAACTGCCAAATACCAGCGGCCTTCCCTTAATCATCTTAAATTCATGGCTCACATACACCACTCCACTCCGAGGGTCCTAAAAATCGTGGACCCAATTTAGCTGTAAAATCTCGGCATTTTGCATTGTGTTTTGTCTACACCTACACAACAAGAAGAAAAGATTAC